AGTGATATTCTGTTTATATTTTTTTCCAGGCACATTTGACCAATTCCAAACAACATCAATCTTAATAACTGCTATTAATCTAGTATTTAATCACTTATAACCTATATATTATTGTTCATGAAGGCTGGAAGTGAAAAACGCCTTATATTCAGGTGTGCATAATTATTAAGCAGATTTTCTTTTACAGATAAAATGAGCCAAAAAAAGAAATTTAACTCAGACTGAAAGTCAAAAATTATTAAATGCCCATGAGAAATATTCAAAACTAATACAATACTAGAAATTGCAAAAGTTAATGCATAACCATTGGACAGCAAAATGCTCAGTGGGTCAGCAGGGTCAGTCAAAAACATGTGGAGAAGAAAATATGCATGTTAACTGCAAAAGAATTAGGAATTAAGGTGAAGAATTAGGTGTGAAATCACCAGGAACCATTTAGTCTCCAGCACCACCATTTTCTAGAACTGCAACCTACCTATACTCTCCAGAAGTACAAGGTGTCAGATTCTCAGAGACTTAGGTTAAGTATAGAATCAGAAAATGACCCCTACTTAATAAGAATCACATACTGAAGTGTAGTAAAATACTTGAAGACTGATTTTTTAATATAGGCTTTATAGACAGATAAGTTTAGAGTGACTCTTGAAGGACCAGCACCACATCCTCTTGTACCACTGTTTGAAGAATTTATCTTCCAGAATCTGGCAGTAAGTTTTGGGAGTTCATTTTTAGTCATCTCGAGATTTTATCTGTAGAAGATAACCTGCTTAATAATTATGCACACCTGAATATAAGGCGTTTTTCACTTCCAGCCTTCATGAACAATAATATATAGGTTATAAGTGATTAAATACTAGATTAATAGCAGTTATTAAGATTGATGTTGTTTGGAATTGGTCAAATGTGCCTGGAAAAAAATATAAACAGAATATCACTTTGCATTATAATTATGCATGCACTGTACAGTATTTTTCCTCTTCCGCTGTCATCAGCAATGCAAGGAATGTTGTTATTGGTTGTCAAGGCAGCCAATCAGAATTTAGCAGCCTCGTCTTTGATTGCCCGGAATTATAGCATTATGTAACGCTGGGTTGTGTTGAGGAAGCCAGCCGTTGGCATTTAGAGAGCACTGAGGGCAGGCATCAGGTGAGCAAGCTAGTGAAACGTTGCACGCGCAAAAAAGGACTGCACACATCCAAAAACGTATTTTAAAAGCAAAATTGATTTTAGTGCGTTCTAAATACTTTTTTCGTTGCGAAACAAACATTTTCTCCACAAAACTCAGATCGCGCGCATACAAAATGCACTTTTGTGCGCTCAAATTATGATCTTTCGTGCGCAAAATTGTGGCAGAGATCTAATCCTATATGTGGGCAGCACACTGATGTGAAGGCACAACTGCACCTCAGACAATATGGGTTAATCCCAGCTAAAGGTACTTTCCTGCTCCTGTTCAATTCTCACCTGTCCAATTGTTTCCTGTCTCTACTCCTACTGTCATGACCATTGAAGGTGAAAAACCCCTTTGCAATAAAATAAGCAACAGCAACCTCTGAGCAGTAAAACACATTACAACAAGACAATAAAGGGATCTCCCATGTTTCTCAAACGTTTCTCTCCCATTGTCATTTTGGATTCCTTTTTTTTTAGAACTTTATCATGTCTCAGTTGTCTACTTTTATTTCTCCTCTTGATAGAAATTGCAGCAAGACAATAAAGATATATTCTATGTTTCTTCCACCATATTCTCTGTTTTGACTCTTTTTTCTCAAATATTTCTCATTTGTGTCTACTTTTATTTCTCCTAAGGAATTTTAGGAGAAACATCTGAAATGCTGTTGATACTAAAATGAGAGATATATGAGAATCTCATCTAAGTCTCCTAAGCTTAGGAAAAGCAACCACTGAGCAATAAATTTTTCCTATGGGTAGGTGCCATTTTTGGACCGTATGACAATCATTTCGAAAACAGTATTCAAAATGTGGTTCGAGATTTTCTCATGAGAGCACCTAGGAGGGGAAGTAACATTCAACATCATCTGTTTCTCTGTGTCGATACTGAGTGAGACAGATGGGTTGAGGGTATTACTTGCCATTTCATAATCGTCCCCACGGGGACTGCAATCCCTAGACAGCCCCATCCCTGGCCTGTTTTCCTTCCTTAAGATGCAGCACACGCAAAATTGAATCTAAGACTGGCAGACATGGAACATCTATTAAAAACGTTTCATCATTCAGCTCAGATAGCCAACGTGACTTTTTTTACACAGTGATATTACACAACATTGACTCCTTTTGAGTTCGCAATTGTTGCGCTGACACCAGCAGGCTTTGTTGTCGCAGCTGCGCTGGAGATTAGTGGTTGAATTCTTCAAGACTTGTGTAATTATATCATCACTTGGTCGAGCCGGCCAATGAACGGTTCTGGTTTTACAGGCGATCAGGACATATTAATTACCCATTACATGATGAGCATTTAAAAATACGACATTTGGTTTCATCTGGGAAAATCTTATCTGACTGCAGGTTTAACCAGCGCACTATTGACTCACTGAATGGTTGTACGACCCTGTACACATATATAGTTCAGTGGTGTAAACATGATCCGTTAATCTGTCTATCGGATGGATCAGAACAGTGTGTATTTAAGAGGAAAGCCATGTTAACTTCACCGTATGTGAGAGATTTACTCTTTAAAATTTTAAGGATGGAGCACTTGCCATATTTCAAACCAGATTGGTTTGATCTGAACTTGAACTGGCCTGTTATGAATATCTGAACATAGGTTCAACTTTTGAGCAAGCTGTAAAAAATCAAGATAGATAATAACTGAGGTAAAACGTGTGAAGAAATTGTGAAGAAAAAACTAAACAAAACATAAGATAGGAGAAGATTTTTCTCAACTGATTCTCCAAAACACCAACAAGAACAAATGGAGACTGTTGCTGAGTTTCCTGCTTTTCTAGTAAAAAGACCCTAGTAATTTCACATGTTGAACATCCATGTCTCTTAAAATGGTTAATATATGAATTCAGAATAAATGTGAAAAAAAATTATTACTTTATAAATGATGATCTCTTAGAAGTTAGAAAACAAACCAAAAAAGGTTTAAACAATATAAAAAAAATAAAATAAAAAAAATAAAATGGTTGTCATCCATGTTTCTTATTTACAAAACGTTGCAGGTTATTATTTAGGAATGACGCCTGTATTCCAAAAAGGAACAATAATTTAAGCAATTTAAGCCATATTTACATGTGACTGTCAATCAAACATTTTTGTAGTGTGTACACTTGGCCAGCTACTTAAGATTTTTAAAATAGCGTTTTAACCAATTGCTCCATGCAAACTCAAACATTGCGATTCAGACAGAAATTTAATTACCAAATGACCCTGCTTTTTGTTACGGTCAATTACCGTTGATGTGGTCTGCAATCAAAAGTTTTTCCAAGGCCAAATTATGTGGGGCATGCTATCTGCATTAGTTTTTATTGCTGTAAACTCTTACTAAATGTCATCTATTGTCTCGTTTTTTTGGGGGCTATTTTTTATTTTTAATAGAGACATAATTGATCCTCAAATGAAAAATAACTACTTACAATACTGTATAAAAGAGCAACTGTGCAGCAATTTTCTCAGTTTAATGTACAAAGTTTATGCACTATTTTACTCTTTAAGCGTAATATAATATTTGCAGGTGAAAACTGTACATAGAAAATACTTAATTCTGTATAGTTTTACACCAATTCACACTCACTAAGCCTTTGCAAAGCCCTGAACACAAACAGATGCACAGTGTATTCCAGCATTCTTGCATTAGTGTTCGATTTGCCCTTCTACTTTAACTGCAAACCAAAATAAACCACAGTAAGGCTGGGCTTTTCAAAGCAGCGCAAAAAACTGAACTTTCATCTCCTAATATTGCCTTTTCTGAGCAATAACAGCTATGTTTGTCACATATGACTAGCTTCCTTTGCAGTGTTTTCCGGGACCTGTGTGTTTCTGTCCTTTTCTAGGGTGGGTCCTCGGTGAGCACCCTCTCTGTTGGATTCAGAAACCGGGTGCTCGACTTGCAGTGTTACTTCACTCATCAATATGATGTCCAGCCAGTATGATAGCCTGGTTTCGGCTTCATGCTTCCTGGATCATGCGGCCAGGTCACAGGCTTCTGCGGGAGCCTTCCTGACCATCAGACCCCCGACACGGCACTGCAGAATTTCCTGGACGTCCGGGCTGGGCTTATGCTTTCAGGCTGCCCTGTCTGGTATACTGTATCTAGGTCGCCCTGAGGGGCCTCCTAGTCACCAGGATATCCCCTCTTGCTGAGGCATCGAGCGGGAAGTATAGGTGGCATTTGCGAGAACCTTCTTGTGTAATGCTGTCTCAGGCAGTGCTCCCCTCGCCTTAGAGGGTTGTATTTGAGCTTGCCTCTCCCGTTTGGCTCAGTACTTCTGGGTATCTGTGAACAGATGCTTGGAAAACTCTTAAATCCATATTATTGTAAGTGCACACGTTAAGCTTTGCGCACTTTCTAAAATCCACATAGTGGGTAAGTGTGCACGTTAAGTTTTGTGCACTTTTCTGAAATCCTGTATGGTAAGGGTTGCGCATTATTAGCCTCGTTCCCTTTCTCTGAGTTGGTTTAGACCCCGGTACCATATATCTTTTTTACATTTTCAAAAATATATAATTTTGTGTTCCACAGGTTCATACAGATTTGGAACAATGTTCATAAAGACCAAAGTCTCCTGTAAATGTGTTCAGTACAGGTTCTCAAGGTCAGCGGAATCCTTTTTCAGATGTACTGGTGATATGCAGTTTAACCACAAATCCCATCAGCCGCCATGACACTTTATCAATACCTCAAACGGGAGACCTTTAACACCAGAGGCCATTAAGTTGACTCGCGTGTCTGATCTATGATCATGCTTCCCAAACCACATCTAAACTCTTATATACCACAAAGCAAAACTGGTTTCAGATCCGTTATGGTGACTTACCTGTAGGATTTGTGGAGAGCAGGAGCAGAGCTTCGCAGGTCAGGTCAGCTGTTGCCCTGGAGATTAGCGTAATCCAGATGGTCAACACCTGCAACGGTGGTGGAAAGAAAGGAAATTTGTAGATGGAAAACAAAAGTGTGGCTTTAGCATCCATCTGGACATCCAGCAAGAGACAGCATACAATGGAAAAGTAAAGCAGGTCAACATCTGTCTCATGCTAATGCAGGTATGCCTGCCACACGGTTGTGCTTCTGAAGTCATCCGCTAGCTATGTGTGAGGAACAGACTGAAATTTAAGTTGTTTTTCAAAGACGTGAAACTTTTCTTTCCTGCTGGTTTATTGGTTACCTGTAAAACCTTACATTTATGTAAATATAACTTGCCTGTTTACAAGTAAAGTCTACAGAATAAATTATTTTAATTTAGGGCCCATATAATTGGATGTATTATTTCCCAAATTCTGTGTTTTCCATTTAATTTTTTTCTGGATTATGTGTTTTAAGTAAAAAAAAATAAAAAAAACTTAAAAAATTTTGAAATTAATGAATAAAACTTTAAACATTTAAGATTTTTTTTTATTAATTTAATTTAAGTTTGCATTTGCATTTATTTTGTCAAATAAGGTTCTGCACAACAGATCTGTTTATAAAACATGGAAAAACATGAAAACAATCTTGATTATATGAAACATAAACAACATCTTGTTGTTATTCTTATTACTTAGAGAGGTACATTTTACAATAGTACTATATTACTCCAAGTTAAGCCAAACTTTATTTTGGTTTTATTTTGGACCTTTGTGTTTCAGTCTGTTTTTGACAATAGCTGTTATCAAATTAAATGGAAAAATGCTCATGAAGTGAACCGTAAGAACAGTTTTGGAGATGAAGTTCATGTAAAGTAAGAGAGCAGACGCTGGAAACACTATGAGCATCACACATACTTGAGTATGTGTAATGTAGGCTAAATATTGAAAATTACTCAAATGTATCATCAACATCATTCACTAATTTTTTTAATGATAAATATAGATTTCAATTTACTGCTCTGCCCTAACTGTAGGTTTAAATGCACTTTAAAATGTAAATTTCAGTCAAACATAAACAGTAATTTGTCTATTTATTATTATAAAAATTGCAATGTGAATTCTTCAGTCCAAATGATTTAGTCTAGACTCTTTAGTTTCAGACCAGTCAATTTTTCCAAAGTCAGACTAAACTATAGCAGATGTTTACTGTATTTATGAGCTAAATATATGAAATTCAGTTTCTTATATCATGTGCAGTTTACTTAAAGGGACCGTTCTTATTCTCATAAACGATGTAGCACTCAATGCTTCATTGCACAGTTATTTTATACTAAATTCTTTCCAACGTTTTAAAAAGATTTAAGCTCCAAGATGTATAAGATTTAATACCCAAGACCAGGGCTTTTGTTTCAACATTCATGTTCAGGAAACAAGAGGGAAAAATCACAGGTGTGACCTTTGTGCCCTAACATCACACCGACTAAATGATTCTCTCTAACCGAAATAAAAGCAATTTATATTTTTCAAGCAGATTCATTACACATGTTTTACTAAACCACAGCTTTAAGACTAATGGCTCTTTGAACAGCAAGAAAGATGGAGAGGTTCTGCCCATGCTTGATTTGCTGTAATGCGATTGCATAAGTAGGCCGTCTCTAATTCATAGTCCTGGATACAGAGGTGTCTAGGAAAGAATAGGGATGAATGAAATATCACCTTCCTAAAATAGACATGGACAGCAATCTATGACTGAATCCAACACACTGCACTTCAATTCTCAGAGGGCTTGAGGCCTTCAGTCATAAAGTTGTCAAAGGCCCCACATGATCACATGACCTCTAAAAGTTTTCAGGGCCTGCTGGATGATCCTTCCACACACCATAATAAAACCATGAAAATTTATACCACCACCATGGACGCACTGGATGCATTATGTCAGTGGAAAGCAGGTCTTTCAGCTGAGCGCTAAAATTTTTACTAGTTGTACAAAAATGACTGAAAGTTCCCAGTGGCATGAGGTCAACAGCCTGCTGTCTACTGGTCCCTAACCTCCACCACATTAGGACAGGTTTACAGTTCAGTGTTGACAGCTCTAAAGACCGTCTGCAGCACATACTCAAGCTAGCGGGAGACAAACAGCGGGACTGAGGAGGGAAAAACGGAAGAAATACAGCCCCTGGTGTGTTTTATGAGCTGGCAGACTAACACTCCTCTCGCCAGTCGGCTGCTGGCTCACTCGCCAGTAATCCTCTTGAAGCCTTGAATTGCCTTTTCCTCAGGTCTTTCCAGAAACATCCCAAATGCTTATGCTATTTTTTCCAGCTCTCCCAATCCCTTCACTGTCTCTTTCACAGACTTCATCCAGGCTGGCTTGTTCCACAAGGACACCAAAGGCTGGTTTTGTGTCGAGGGACGGTTGTGCCTTCAGACTTTCCTGTCACTTGGAACAGTTTCACTTCATCACCCTCAGTCACCAACACTGGAGGACCATTGTATAACCCATGTGCTGGACAGGATTGCCCATGAGGGCTTCAACTCATACTGTACGCACACAATCGTTTTACAAACAGCTAGAGAGCTTTGTGCTGACATGACCAGCAGGGGAGTAACTAACTAAAAGTAGTGTCGCTACTAACTTAACTACATTTGTCAGTAGCCTGACAGCAGTTAAGCTTAATGTAATAGTGTAACTTGTCCAGTAACAGTCTGTCACTTATGAAACATTTAGAAATCTGATTAAACTCATTCAAGTGATGCATTTATATGAATTTATTCAAACAAATGACTCACTGACTTCCTGCAAAGATAAAAGATAAAAAAAAGCCTAGATAAAAAAAAAAATCACAGGAATCACAAAAATTATATTCACAGGAATATAAATAGGAAGGAAAACAAAGGCCAAATTCCCTTAATCATCCATCACAATGAGAAAAAACAAATAATATATTTCTGATGTGCAGCAAAATATAACTGAGCTTCACAAATTAGTGAAGTGGCTTTAAAAAAAAAGCTAGAGCAGTGAAAATTCCCATTTCCACCATCAGGGCAATAATTAAGAATTTCCAATTAACAGAAAATGTTACAAATCTGCCTGGAAGAGGATGTGTGTCTAAATCGTACTAATGCACGGTGAGAAGGAGAGTTTGAGTGGCTAAAGACTCTCCAAGGACCACAGCTGGAGAATTGCAGAAAATAGTTGAGTCTCGGGGTCAGAAAACCTTAAAAAAATCGTCAAACAGCACCTACACCACATGTTGTGTGGGAGGGTTTCAAGAAAAATTCTCCTAGCTCATCCAAAAACAAAATCCAGCATATTCAGTTATCAGACACGTCTGGAACTTCAAATGGGACTGGCTTCTATGGTCAGATGAAACTAAAAAATTAGCTTTTTAGCAGCAAACACTCAATGTGTACAATGAAATATACTGCTGTATTTTTAATGTTGTGGGCCTATATTTCTGCTGGAGGTCCTGGACATCTTGTTTAGATACATGGCATCTTTGATTCTATCAAATACCAACAGATAAAAAATCAATAAGTGACTGACTCTGTTAGAAATCTTATAATGGGCCATGTTTGGATCTTCCAACCAGACAATAATCCAAAAACAAATCTTAAAAAAAACACAAACAAGGGTCACTAAGCACAAAACCAAGCTTCTGCTATGGCCATTCCAGTTCCCTGACCTGCACCCTATAGAAAATGAGTGTGGTGAACTGAAGAGGAGAAGCACCATCATGAAGCTGGGAATCTGAAGGGTCTGGAAAGATTCTGGATGAAGGAATTGTCTCTGATCTCTTGTCAGGTGCTCTCTAACCTCATCAGGCATTATAGGAGAACATTTAGAGCTGTTAAACTGGCAAATGGAGGTTTCAAAAAGTATTGAATAAAAGGGTGCTGCTAATTGTGGCCAATGTGTATTAGAGAAAAACATTTATGTCATAATGATATTTCCCCCCATTTTAAATTCTTATTATCCGATGAATTCACAATTTTTGTGAATTTTTTTAATAAAAGATCAAAAGGATTCCAATGCAGATACATTTTCACAGCCTTCTTTGATCATATTTACCATATTTGTTTACGATATTTTTGTCCATGACTGTTTAAATATATATATATATATATATATATACTTTACTATTTATAAAGTAAAATATTATTTAGTTAAATGCTGATGTTTATTGCTGTTCTTTTTTAATATGGATGAATAAATAAATAAATAAATGTGTATGAAAGGGATAGAAATAAAACTAACACTGGAAAACAAATAAACAAATAAATGTGTTTATGGAGGGAATACAAATTAAACTAACACTGATAAATAAATAAATAAATAAATATATATTTTGTATGAAAGGGATACAAAGAAAACAAACACTAATAAACAAACTAATAAATAAATAAATAAGCGTGCGTATGAAATGGATAAAGTAACACTGGAAAAAACAAACAAAGAAACAAATAAAATATGCGTATGGAAAGGGGTATAAATAAAAATAACTAACCAAATAACTAACTGAATATCTAACTAACTACATAAATAAATAAATATCAAAGGGATAAAAAAATAAAAGTAACACTGAAATTAATGAATGACTGAATAAATGAATGAATGAATGAATTACCAAAAATATTACAACAAACAAAGAAACAAATAAAATATGCGTATGGAAAGGGGTATAAATAAAAATAACTAACCAAATAACTAACTGAATATCTAACTAACTACATAAATAAATAAATATCAAAGGGATAAAAAAATAAAAGTAACACTGAAATGAATGAATGACTGAATAAATGAATGAATAATATAACATGGCATTAAAAACAAGATATTAATCAAAATAAATAAATAAATAAGCGTGCGTATGAAATGGATAAAGTAACACTGGAAAAAACAAACAAAGAAACAAATAAAATATGCGTATGGAAAGGGGTATAAATAAAAATAACTAACCAAATAACTAACTGAATATCTAACTAACTACATAAATAAATAAATATCAAAGGGATAAAAAAATAAAAGTAACACTGAAATGAATGAATGACTGAATAAA